CATCCATCCTTCCATCCATCCATCCATCCATCCATCCATCCATCCAACCATCGATCCATCCATCCAACCATCCATCCATCCATCTATCCATCCATCCATCCAACCATCCATCCACCCATCCATCCACCCATCCATCCATCCATCCAACCATTCATCCATCCAACCATCCATCCATCCATCCGTCCATCCATCCATCCATCCATCCACCTCTGCTAGGTGGGCACCTGCAGTGATTCCGATACCTGCTTGCACCTCACAACACCCTCTGAGTTAAAACTCACCATGGCCTTCAGACATAGAAATGATTATCCCCATTGCACACCCGAGAAAACAAACTCAGAGAGCGTCCCTAAGGAGGAAGCAGTCGGGATTTGAACTCATGTGTGTTCCACCCTGCTTTGTGCTGTGACGATTTTGCCGGGGCTTCTATTTTTCTAGCCCTCAGGACCTCACAGATCCCCACTTTGATGACAGAGTCAAAGAAGTAGCTGACTGTTTGGGTTTGCAGTAGAAAATGTGTCTTGGTTAAGGGGCTGTGGAGGTTTAGCTCCAAAAGGACCTACAAGGACTGGAGTTGGACAGTCCAGCCCCAAGAACTAGAAAGTGGCCCATCGCTCAGTAGGAGAAGTTTCGCTCCAGTCTAAGAAAGGTCTTTTTAACAGTAGAACTCTCCTGAGATGGAGCGGGCTGCCTGGTAAAGAAGGGAGCTCCCCATCCCTGGAAGTGTGTGCACTAAGAAAGATACTCACAGGTCAGGGGATTCCTAGACTGGGTAGGCGTTGGAAGTGATGTACTCAGGGAGTCAAATCTTAGTAAGTTCTGATCATTTGACTCATGATCTTGAGATAGTCTGAATCCTCAAAGCAACACACTTTGTGTGCTTTAAAAAAAAACTAGACTGTATTTTGGGGGAAGTTTTAGGTTCACAGAAAAATTGAGCAGAAAGTACAGAGACTTCCCATATATTCCCTGCCCCCACACATGCACAGCCTTCCCTGTGATCAACATCCCCCACCAGAGTGGTGCATTTATTACAATGAACACCTATACTGATACATCATTATCACCCAACATCCACAAGGTTCCCTTGGCATTGTATATTCTATGGGTTTGGACAAATGTATAATGACGTGTATCTCCCATTACAGCATCGTAAGATTAGTTTCACTGCCTCTCCCTAATCCCTGGCAACTACTGCTCTTTTTACAATCCCCTAGCTTTGCCTTTTCCATAATGTGATATAATTGAAACCATACAGTATGTAGCCTTTTCAGATGGGCGTCTTTGATTTAGTAATTCCATCCATCCATCCATTCAGTCATCCGTTCAGTCATCTATCGATCCATCCATCCATCCATCCATCCCCTCATCCATCCATTCATCCATCCATCCATCCATCCATCCTCACATCATTCCATCCATCCATCCATCCATCCATCCATCCACTCATCCATCCATCCATCTACCCATCCATCCATCCATCCATCCATCCAGTCATCCAGCAAAAAACGAGAAGTGCCTGCGTTATGCTGAGTGTGGTTCTCTGTGCAGGGGAGGCAGCAGTGAACTCACAGAGGAGATTCTGCTTTCATTCTGAAAGCCAGTCCTTAGCATTACCCTCTGACCCCCTCTGAACTTTCAGGCCAGACACAGTCATTATGTTAGCAGAGACCACATGGCACAGCTGTTTCCCCTGCTTGGTCCCTGCTTGGCCAGTATCTTCCTGAATTTGGTCTAAGCCAAAGCCCTTAGTTCCCCCCACTCCTCCAACCTAGACTCAGTTATTTGAACCTTCCCCTGTGTATACATGACAGAGCCTGAGTCCTAGAGAGGCCGAGACATTTCCCCCGATGGCGAGCAAAGGGCTTGGCTGGGGTTATGTCCCCGTGCTGAGACTGTTTCTTCACCCCTACCCTGAGGGACTTGGAGCACAGAATTGCAGGGGTTTTGTGAATTTAGGGCAGACCTGAGATACGACCCTAGGGTTTCGCCTGTTGTGGGGACAGCACGGGGTCATTCTTGTTTTCGATGTTTTTCCAAACTTCTCCTGGCTGTTCCCCACACCTGCCTGCCTTCTCTACCGCATGCAAGGGGAAAGCAGCAAACTCCTTCCTCGAGCCTGTGGGGCTCCCCATCACCCCACTGCTGCCAGGGCCTAGAAGGCCATAGAATAGTTTTCCTCCAGAGGATGTAACAGCACCCTCTGGGGTGGCCCACCCCGCCCCCAGCCAAGCCCTTCTCTCCTTTAGAGAAAGGACCCCCGTGATCTCACATCTGGATCACAGCTCCCACTTCCTGTGGGCTGGCGGGAGCCACAGGCAGCCTGTGACTCAGGGAGGCACATTCTAACCTGCCTGGGAGAGCAACACCCATTGCCCACCCCGACCCAGGCTCACGAACCACCTGCCCTCAGTAGCTCTGACTGGGCACTGACTGCACACGTGGGGCTTTGCAGGCAAGCACGAGCCCATTTCTACCTTTGCAACCACCCCGCCAAGTCATATTTATGCTCAGGAAACGAGGGGGAAAATAATTGGCTCAAAAATGTTACCCAGGGGATGAGAGCAGAGCTGGGACTCCAAACCATGCAAAGCCCACGCTCTGAGTGGTGCCCAGTTTTATCCACGACAGGCAGGACCAGCACAGGAGGGAGCGTTTATAAACCTTCTCCCATCTGCCGCCTGGTTTAACTCCGGCCACCCTGGGAAGCCAGCAAGTAGAGTTCTTTGCAGACAGAGAAGCTGAGTCTCAGAGAGGTTAAGAAACTTGCCTGGGGTCACACAGGGCCAGTGATCAGCACAGCTGTGAGATAAAAGCCAGGTTCCAGAGTCTACACCCCACACCCATCCCTGCTGTACGACGCTTGCTCCTTACTGCTTATGTCCGAGGCAGCTACCCAGAATCTACAGAAATCAGATCGCTAAATTGTTTACACAAACACACACATGCCTGTCTCGATTCAGGGAGAAGACAAATCTAGAACAAACAAGATCATTCCTCCTGTTTGGGAGCTGTTCTTGTGACTTGCCAGGACTAGGAAAGGGAAAGAACTCCCCCCCCCCCCCCAGGACCTGAGGGAACTTTAGCCCTTGTGACACTCACCTGCAGACTCTCTCTTGGTGCTGGGACCTCCTGTCCTCCTGGCAACGGCGAGGCGACTGGACCAGCCCCCGTGCAGGACTCACCTTGTCCAGAGCGAGCCACGGGAGCACCTCGGTGGCTCCCTCCGTGCGGCAGGGCAGCCCGATGTCCCCACCCCTCCTAGGAGCTGCCAGAACACAGCCGGAGTGGCGGAGGGAACAGCTCATCTTTCAAGGGCTGGGTGGTGATGTCATCACCCTCCTGGGCACTTCCTCCCTCCACCTCCAGCCCAGCCCAGTGCTCCTACCCAGCGACAGGGCCAGGCTGGCTACACTTTCTAGAACCCAGGCAGGCAGAGGCCACACAGAGGTGGTTACAGCTACCCTGTGAGCCTTGAGAGCTCGGTGAGCCACATGGAAGATTTCCAGGTTTGTCTGAGGAATGTTCTATTGTGTAGCCTGGCTGACCTTTAGAGCCACAGGGTGGCCAATGTGTTGGGGGCTCAAAATCAGCCGGTCCTGGATCCGGGTCCCCGTACTCCCTTCCTTGGCTAAGGGCTTGGGGGAAAGTAGCTTAACCTCTCTGAGCCGTGAGGCGGAGCTGAGATCGTGGCCAGGGTCACAGGGGATGTGGTCAGGATTAACAGCTTTTGCTGTGTGCCAGACGCTTTTTCCAGGTACATCAATGGATTAACTCAGCCAATCCTCACTGGAACCCAGGCAGCCTGGATCCAGAGTCTGTGGTCGGAACCACTGTGCTGTCCCTTTTCTCTGTCACGTGCTGTGATGGATGCGAAAAGTGGATGTGTCGCAGGTGACCCCTAAATCCTAAATAGTATTCTTCCTTCTGGTGTTGAGGCAGGTAGCTGGCGGGCTCCGTAAGTGACCGAGTGTGTCTAATACAACATTTAACTCGTATCATTATTTTCCTCACGTGGTTGTTTTTATGACTGAGTTCCAGTGTAAACAGCGGTCATGCCTCCCAAGGGGGCGACGGAAACGTGGAAACAACTTTAGAGGAAGAAGACCTTTCCTTGGCTTGTTCTGTGGCCACACGTAAGGTTTGCGCTGCCCCCTCTCCCCCCCGCCCCCCGCCCCCCGCTCCACTGATCTGGGGGGTGTTTGGCAATGATTTCTTCCCTCTTCAACATTGATTGGCTTCCTTGGCTTTTCTCTGGAGACTTCCTGACAATCTGCAGCACTTAACGTTTCCAGCAGTTGATAAGCTGGAAAGTGCAGGGGCTTTCAAGTGTGTATATTTTTACAGCCTTGAAACCTTTCCTCGAAAAGAGACCAGATAAAGTGGACGCGGTGGAGGTGGGGTGGGGGGGGATAGATAGGAAGGTCAGATCCCCACCTATCTCCTTTTCCCCTGTCATTCCTCTGAAGCAAGCCTACAAACAGTGATCAAGCCTACAAACAGTCACCATAGAGAGAGGAAAACTGAGTCACAGAATAGTTCACTGGGATCCAGGCCTGGCTTGGCTGTAGAGTGAAGTCCCGCCCCAGCCTGGGTGCCTCAGTTGACTCCTCAGGGTACTGGCCCCTCCTACCACACGGGAGTCCTTAATAGGCTCCCCCAGGGGTCCCTGAGCCCTCTAAAACGGTGTGCAGAATTGCATGCGGGTGCTTTTTCCAGCTGAGAGGGTTGCCTTCGTCAAGTTACTGAAGACCAAAGCATGTTGAGACCCAACAGAACAGAGACCTTGTGAAGTCCCCAACTGGTACATTCTTGGGTTCCAGGTCTACGAGATGAAAATCCTCAGATATCCGAATCCGGTGTTGAGGCTTTGGTAGATGCTATTGAGAGAGCTCCAAAAGGCATCCATCCACCCACACACTTTTCCATATGCTGCCATAATACAGTTTTTGAAAAATACTGTCTTGATCCAGGTGGAGGCTGGTCAGTTTTTCTTAGCGGCTAAGTTCACATTCTGACACCTTCCTTGCCAGGCTCTCACACTCTGGGCTACTATGTACTTAATTATCCTGTGGCCAGGTACCACATGACTGTGGACACCCCCGATACCCTGGAACTCAAAAAACTGTTCATATTAGCCATTCCCAGGGAGCCTAGGAATCCTCGCTAACCCCACCCTTCTTGCCATAGGTAAGCCACTCCCTACAGCTCTGGTGTGCTGCTACCCTGTCCCTGGGTACAGCCCCTTGTGTGGATCTGCCTGGAAGCCTTCTCATATTTGGAACTAAAGTAACACAAAGTTCTATATTTCATCTATCCAATTATCATTGTGTTGTGTCATCAAAAGAATATTTAAATCTTATCAAACAATTATCCACTCTTCCATTCACCTACAAGTGTATCTACCCATTCATCCAAATATCCATCCATCCATCCATCCATCCATCCATCCACCAACCCACCCACC